TACCTTTTAATTCAAATAGTAAACATATTTAATGTTCTGAGTGTGTGGGCTAGAATGAAAGGACTATTTTTCTTTGTTCACTGATAAGCCATTTGCCTCATCTGTGAAGTAGTGGTGATGATACTCCCAAAATAGGGTTGTCAGAAATTAAATGAAGAAATGTAAATACATAAGACTGAGACTAGCACATAGTAGGTATTCAGTAAGTGTTGACTGTTTTTGTTTTTTTTTTCCTCTCTGTCTCTGTATTGTCTCTCTCTCTCTTTTTTAAAGAGAGCTGGTGCCTTATAAAATTAAACTGTTCTGATTTGGAACTCAAGTTCTTTTATATGGCGGATTTCCATGAAGAAAAAAATGTAATTATTGATCGAATTGTGCTGTTAGAATTAGAATTAGGATCATAACAAATATGAAGGTTGTTTGATAAACTTGCGAACAAAACAAAGCCAAAAATTGTACTTGCTATCCCCTTGTTGAATCTGGCCCTCTGTTTCAAATTAATTAGATTTTTGGATAACTATGCTAAATTTTGTCACATCCTTATTAAAATTGTTTAAGGATTTTGAAGAACATCTCAGAGGGACTCAAACTAATCTGAGACTGGTGCTGGAGATTCCATTAGCAATCGCAAAACTGATTAATCTTTTACTCAGTTAGCTTATTGATTATTGCTGCAATTACTGCCTGTAACGGATGATGCACGGGATACCAGCAGAAAACACATTTTATAACTACTGCTGATGCATTCAGTTTGAGTGCAATATTTTGTACTTTTTTATACATAATTATTTTTGTATTTGTAAATGTTGGAACACTTCTACAAACAAGAAAGTGCTGTGATTAACATTGTTTCAGTATTAGGAGGTTTTAAAAAAATCTTTACTAATGATTGGTTGCAATTTGTGAAGTGTTTTTACTACTTCTGTTGCTACAGTTTGATTTTGAGCCTCACAGATTTCTCATACTTGAGCTTATATAATTGTCAGGGCAGATATTTTTACTCTCATTCAGAGGAAACTGAGATTTAATAAGGTTAAGTGACTTCCTAAAGATTACACAAGTTAATAAGTGACAGAATCAGGATTTAACCTTATTTCAATCAGTATATATCTATGGAACACCTACTATGTGCTGGGCTTTACTAGGGGTAATAGAAGCCAGGACAGGATTATAGAGATTAGGATAAGGAAGTTTTTAGGACAACTGTAAATTCTGATCTCATTAATACTTTAATGATCACTTTCTTTTCTTTCTAAGCAATGTTAAGTATCTTGGTGTACAGGGTTTAAGTTGTTTTTTTTTTTTTTTTTAAATTTCTTTGTTTTTTCCTTTTGTTTTTGTCCAGTAGAAGTCTTTGTCATAACTGTTTATTTTATCACTATTTAGAACAAAATTGGAGACATCCCTTCAATAGAAGAATATTAAAAATACACTAAGAGACAATTCAAGGTACAACAATTGATTTCTATTTGCCTGGAGCAACAGAGGGAGAAGGAGAGTCAGGAATAGAAGGAGGAAATGGGATGTGTGGCTAATTGCTTTCATGAACAACTGCCTCCTTTTTCATGAGACCAGAAGAACTAGATGGTACCTAGCTACCATTACTGAACGTTTTGATCAAAGATTCTATAGAAGAATCCTGATCAAAACGGGAGAAATTTGGAATTAAATTTCAAATTCTCTTGGAACCCAGTCTTGCCTGTGGAGGCCAGATAAGCTCCTGAAACTATTACCCTGAGATAATCTTTAAACCTTAAACCAAAAATATCCCCTGAAGTCTTCATACAACCAAACAATAGTTTAGCTTAACTAGTAAAGAATGTCTGCTTTGAACATTCCTTGTGCTCTTTTAAGAGATAGCTAGATGGGATCAAATTGACAACAGCAGTTTGAAAGATTAGATGGGAACCTTAGGGAACAGTCAGTTTATGTTAATAGGGGAGGAACAATTCAGAAAAGAGGGTGAGAATGGGTGCACAACCTGAAGAATATAATCAGTGTCACTGAATTGTACATGTAGAAATTGTTGAATTGGTGTGTTCTGTTATGTGTATTTTCAGCAACAACAACAAAAAATAAAACAAATTATATATATGTTTACATATATATTTAAAGAGAGATGATCAGTCTAAAACTAACTTACTTTGCTGTTATTAAGTACTGTTTTATCTGTTTTCTCATGTGAATCACAGTAATTCTGTGAGTAGATACTGTCTTCATTTTCAGATGAGTAAACTGAGGCTCAGTGAGCATAACCTCATTGAAGTTATGTGCTAGTAAATGGCTAATAAAGGAGACTCCTCCAAATGCCTTATCTTACCGAGCAGCACGGGCTTTGTGTCCCATTAGGACTGCCCTGTGCCAGGGGATTTGACACATGGCCCCGCTGTTTATCCTTCTTCCTTACGGGAGTACTATATAAGCAGTGGCCTGAGCTCCTGTACCTGGTACCTCGTTGGAGGCCACCCGACCCTAGTCAGACTTGCTCCTCAGAGGTCAGTTCCGCAGAGTAGGCCTACACTTTGTATTTAATTGCCATCGTTTGTAGCACGTCCAGGAGCTCTGGTGGCACAGTGGTTAAAGCAAAAGGTGGGTGGTTTGAACCCACCAGTCGCTCCATGGGAGAAAGATGTGACAGTCTGCTTCTGTAAATTTACAGCCTTGGGAACCCTGTGGGGCAGTTCTAGTTTGTCCTATAGGGCACTATGAGTTGGAATCGACTCGACGGCAACAGGTTTTTGGTGTTTTTGGTGGAACACAAGATTCTCAGTTAAGACAAACCAAGTATCTCAGCAGGAGAAAACATACCTTGGATTGGGAAGAATTGTAGAAAACAAAAAAGAAAACCTAACGACTTGCTTTAAAGAAAACTGTTAAGTGGCGTATTTAATGTCATTACCGAGACTGTGTTGATCATAGTACAGAGATGTTTATAGATTTCTGAAAAATCCCTGTAATGATAACAGAACTATAGTTTGCCAGTTGATTTGGCACAGATCTGAAATGAAAAGGAAACCATTTTTATTTATTTATTTATGAGGTAAATAAATAAAGTTGGAAAACAGGTCAATTTCATGCATGCAAGGTTTTATAGTAGGAAAAAAATGCATTGCACTTGTACTGACCCTTAACATTTGAGGTTATTTGTTTTCAAACTTTACCTCAAGCACCACTTTCAGACACCTCTATAATTAATTTGTTAGATAAAGCATAAGGCTATTTTATTTGCTTTGGTCTCTAGGACAGTGGTGAAACAGTAACTGAAATTACTAACATCTGTACATAGCAGTTAATTAAAGAAAAGCGTTAACTATAGGAGAACACCACCATTGTTGTTGTCTTGTATCAGTATAAAAAGGCAGTAATTTTTTTGACATCCACTGATTGCAAAGTTGCTTGTAGCCTTCCAGAAGCAAGGGGCTACATGCTGTGGATCAATAACCGGCAAATTTCCCATTAAAAAGAATACCTGAGCAATGTTCCAAATAGCCACCGGCATCTTAATTTTCCATGGAAAGCTCAAATACTTGTGTGCTGAGGACAAGTCATTTTCGGACAATTTTTCCAGACTACTTGTTAACAGTTATTGCTGTCCCAGAAGGTTGACAGCCTACAGAATTGGTATTTCATTTACTTGTCATCACTGTTTGAGTAATGGCGAGTGCTGTATTTCTGTGGTTTTAAGGAACATAGTCTCCTGAAAGACATTTGCCTTAGTGTGTATTCCAGAAAGTATGTTGCACATGTTTATACTGTATGTAAATAAGTTTTTAGGTCCATGAAAGGAGAGGACTGGTTTCCTTTGCAGTTAGAAAGCCCTTGGAGAGCAGGACATAATTATATCATTCCATAGCTATCAAATATCCACCTCTACTTTATTTGTTATTAGAACAAAGTATCTTAAACTTGTTAACTTGTGATTCCCAAGATGATGTAAAATTTTGTAGCATGCCTTTATTTCTAAAAACAACTTGATCTTTTAATAATTTTAATGTACAGAAAAGCATTAGAGAGATACATATGTATAGATCTTCTAAAAAGAACCTTTCTTAGAATGTTAAATAATGATAATTAAGGAGGAATTTCCTGAAACTATGGTAGTTAAATAATATGTGCATATCTTTAATATGGCAACAGTAAGCATTAAAGGGGAGTTGTGCTCTGTGACAGCCCTCAAAACACACAATCAGCTATTTTCATCATCAGTATTTTCCCACCAAGAACATCACATCTTCAAGTTATTTGGACATATACTCACCAGTTAGCATGTTAAGGAATTTGGGAATCAGACTCTAATACAACCTACTGAGTGATTTGTGTTATGAAGGAGCATGAAGGCCTTTTCACTTAGACATTTATTTTGGGGGTTCAGAATTTTACAGTGAAATTTTGGTCTATACTAAAGTGTTTATAAGACTAAAACATAAAAAAGTATGTTTTATTTTGGTTTGCTGAAGCTACCTTTTTATCATATTAATCCTGTCATCTTTGGATGACTCATATCTTGTTTGCTAATTCAGCAGCCCCTCTGATTTAGATTTCCATTATCTATGTAGTTTATACAAAAATGTGAATAATATTTGATTAACTAACTGGTGTGTAGATCCAAGCCAAATGTGAAACTTCTTCACTTTGCTTTGCAAAATCCAGGAAAAAAGAACAAGAGGCAATTTGAAAAATTTCCACTAAAATATGTTTTGTGTCATTTTTGATACATATTATTTTCAAAATACTTCTAGAGATCAAATAGTAATCTAAAGTCTTAATCAACATTTGTACTATTAAAGATTAATGGCAGTCTGGGAGATTACATTTTACTGGACGTTCAATCCTGAGTATTCATGATAATCGTTTTGATGTGCAGATAGGGAAAAAGTATTCTCAAGGGTGATATGTGTATACCAGCAATTTTAAAAAGTACTGTGAATTAAACAACCCGTAAGTGTCTGTTCCAATATTCATGCATTACTGAGTAATCTCTTTCTGTAATCTCTTTGCAGTATTATTCCACAGTAATGGAACAGCAAGTAAATGGACAGTTAACAGAGCCTCTGCAGATATTTCCGAGAGGTAATGTTGAACAAATTCTAATCAACAGTGATTATTTCAGTAAACTGTTTCATCAACAGTTATGTTTTCCGAAGGTTTAAATGCACATAACATGATGTTTAGCTCTTAATTTGAAAAAAACAAAAAAAGTATTCATCATATTATAGTTATGGCAGATAAAATATCTAATTTACTAGAGTAAATTTAACTAACTAGATTGTTTTTTTGTTTTTGAAGTACATACTTACATTCGCTTAAAGAACTCTTTGGGGGGGTCCACATGGTTTCTAGACCAAGGCAAATGAATGCCTTTAATTCTGGATATTTGTAAATCGTGGCTCGTGATGGTGGCCAAAGCTGCTATTGAGGAGAAAGCTTTCAGCTAGTGAAGAAGCTAAGATTTACAGAGGAGTTTTAGGAGAGAAATTTTGGTGAAATGTTTGGTGCTTGGTATTTGCGGGTGGCATTTTCTAAATAATGGAAAATCCTTATAAATGGGAATTCGATTACTAAGTCTCCAAAAATTTGAGGAGATAGGGTGAATCATGGTGAATCACTTGGCCAAATAATTCCCTTTTAGATACTAGCCTTGTATCAGATATGATTGTTTAACTGGTATAGACATTCCCTCAAAATTTGAATAACATTGAAAAAGAACAGTTTAATTATGTAAATCCATTAAGTCTTTCACCTGTTATCCATTGACCCACTTGGAATCCATGTTTTTTAACTGATGGAACAGATAAGGAAATTCTCTAAGTAACTCTTCCTGAAATAACTTAATTGAAATAATTAAAAGTTAAACTTACCTTCCTTAACTGGTACTGTACAAATAATCATAGTATGAGTTTTCCAATTAAACATTCCAGACTTTCATTACCTGTAACTCTCTGAAGTTGAATGGCTCAATTAACCAGTAGGCTCTTATTCATAGCGATAAAGTCTCCAAAGGCCAGTTCATGAGGAGATCTGGGTTCAAGAGTAAAGCAGCTCTTCTTTACTGGCAGGATTGTGAATGTTTATTGCACTGTTAATAATAACTAATGAAGGAGCTTAGTAAATAATTAAAAAAAAAGAGCCATCCAGGGGCAAATGATAAACAGTGTATCTGAAACAAAGATTATGATTAAAGAAAAGAGAAAGAAGTATTGTCATTTCTGTGTATCAGGTCAAGATAAGGGTGCAGATTGTTTCTTAACGTTCTGCAGAATTTGGGCAGGTTTCACAATTGTTTCCCCAATAGAAATACTTTTTTTTTTACCAGCTGAAAATTTCCCTTAATTACTTCCCTACTAGCTGACATTATAGCTTTGTTGTAGCAAACTGTAGTACAGTATCCTGGGGAATTACAGTTCCAATGCTGTGGGTCTTCATTTTCATTTTCAATGTTTACTTCTCTTTATCCAAAATATTTTCAGGTTCTCTTTGTTTTCTTTCATTTTGTGAACAGCCCCTTTCATTTTCGTGTCCATGCCATTGTGCTGCCTCCCATGATAACAACCATTTTTAAACATCTGCTCTGTTCTGGCACTACTATTCCTCTATGTGGCATCATTTCTACTTCTCCCAACAGTTCTGCCTGTTAGGTATTATTACTTCCATTTCATAGATGAGAATATTGAAGTTCAGAGAGGTTAGGTAACTTCAGAGTTGCACAGCCTCTGAGTGTTTAATACACCCTTTGAGTGAGAATTTTGTTTAAATTATAATTTGCTTAAAGTGAAAGGGCATTAAGTTAAAACAGTAGTAGAGTGTGCATAGAGGTAGTTTGGAGTCCTGGTTGCATAGTGGTTAAGAGCTTGCTGCTAACCAAAAAGGACAGCAGTTCAAATCTAACAGCCACTCCTTGGAAACCCTATGGGGAAGTTCTCTGTCGTATAGGACTGCTTTATGAGTCGGAATCGACTTGAGGCAATGGGTTTTTTTTTTATTGGTTTAGGGGTAGTCTGTAGGACTTGGTAGGGATGGGAAGAAGAGTACATTGTGGGGAGAAGATAAAAGAAGAAACTATATGGGATGTGAGTGTCACCTGTAGTCCTAGCACAGAACCTACTAGGACCCGTTAAATACTTGTCTATTAAATATAGTTCTTCCAGGACAAATTTACATTTTTTAAAATATTGGAAACTCAGTCTCCCAATCTCTCTGGTTTTGTTTGCATGGTCTAATACAACTCTTCCTAGTTCTTTGTAGTTTTTTGTTTATTGCTCGTTATCTTGTATGTAGATAAGTAAGATTAGGCCAAGTTATATAATCAGGGTATACACAGTTCGGGTGTATTACCTGGGTCTGCTTAGTTGGTTAGGTCCCTGGGTGGTGCAAACGGTTTGTACTCGGCCATAATCAAAAGACTGGCGTTTGATTCTGCATCCTACTTTGGTGAGTGGCGTCTGGGGTCTTAAAAGCTAGCAAGCAGCCATCTAAGATGCATCAGTTGGTCCCAACCACCTGGAGTAAAGGAGAGTGAAGAACACCATAGACACAAGGAAAGTACTAGCCCAAGAGACAGAAAGGGCCACATAAACTAGAGACTCCATCAGCCTGAGACCAGAAGAACTAGAAGGTGCCCGGCTACCACCAATGACCACCCTGACAGGGAACCCAACAGAGTGTCCCTGATGGAGCAGGAGGAACGTGGGGTGCAGAACTCAAATTCTAGTAAAAAGACCAGACTTAATGGTCGGACTGAGACTGGAGGAACCCTGGAAAGCACGGCCCCCAGACTGTCTTTCAACCCAGAACTAAAACAATTCCCGAGGCCAACTCTTCAGAGGAAGATTGGACTGGACTGTGGGACATAAAATGATGCTCGTGAAGAGTGTGCTTCTTAGGTCAAGTAGATTCATGAGACTAAATGAGCAGCTTCTGTCCGAAGGTGAGATGAGAAGGCAGAGAGGGTTAGGATCTGGTTGAATGGACATGGGAAATCAGGGGTGGAAAGGAGGAGTGTGCTGTCACAGTATAGGGAGAGCAGTTAGGGTCACATAACAATGTATGTATACATTTTTATATGAGAAACTAACTTGAAATGTAAACTTTCACTTTAACTACAACAATAACCAAGAAAAAAATAAAAATAAAAAGATTGGCTGTTTGAACCCAGCCAGCAGCACTGTGGAAGAAAGGCCTGGAGATGTGCTTCTGTAAAGATTACAGCCAAGAAAACTCTATGCAGCGCAGTTCTACACTGTAACACATCAGGTCATCGTGAGTCAGAATCAGCTCAATGGTAACAGTTTGGGTTTTGGTTTACCTAGTTGGTTAGAGGCCTCAGAACTTCGATTCCATTGTCAGACCCCATGTTAAATCTTTAGATTGAACAAGTAGCAAGAGCAGGAGAAAACAATTCTATTCTAACATCAGATGTTCTCGTTCCAAGTGGCACAATTGCCTTGGTCCTCTCTGTAATTAAAAAGATAAGTTGAATATTAATAAGTATGAAAATTTGCTAACTTTATAGTAATTTTTGACTCTGTAGGAAGTATGAATACTGTTTGTCCGGGTTTTTTGAATACTGTTTAGATTTCTAGTCCTAAAGATATGAGAAGCCAGTTGAGGAGCAAGGCAGATAAAAGGTTGGAGATAACAGTTAATGCCTGTCTCTAATCCCTTGGTTAGCCACTCTCTTATTAAATGAAGTTTGTGAATGCACTGGTTAGTTCAGTGGAAATACTCGGAAGTATTGTCTTAGGAAATACTCTGAAGTATTGATGGTCCCTCAAGGACGAGGCATCAAGTGTATGTGACTGTTATTTTGTTCAAAAGGTTAGTTTCCATTTTAAGGAGAGAAGATTCAGAGTCTTAATTATAGTTTATTTAAGAAAAGATAAATAAAGACTCTTTATTAAGGTTTAGACATGTTTTCTAGGAGAACAGCATGATAAATTTAAATATACTTGAAATATTTAAAATTAAAGCAACTGATGTACTTTGTATTTATGAACCACGTTGTCTTATTAATAAACTACTCTATTTCTTGTTGTCAGAAAGAGAGGAAAAATACATGTACTTCTTGAGAAAGGAGGAAAAAAAAACAAGAAAATCAAATTCATCTTTCTCCAATCAATCAAAATGGATGGCCCTTTAACATACAATTTGTAGGGCACTGTAGTTTTCAAATGGAAGCAGTCTATAACATAGGCCTGAAGCTTTTGTATTTTTAACATTTGATGAAGCATTTGCTGAACTGGAAAAGTACTAACCTATAATTCAAGATGGTGTCAGGAAATTATTATTATTTTTCCTGGCATTGCTTTATCTTTAGGCCTCGATATTACCTAAATAGTAGCAGATGTCAAGATTTAGAAGAAACGTAGTAAAATTAGTTATATCTTAATATACTGCTTATGACTGTGTCAACTAGTCTTCAAACTTGAGTATTCCATCTTAGGATCTCTAGTAATCTTTTTGGCATAAAAAGACCATTCTCTAGCCTTCTTTCCCCATCAAAACCCTAGATATTTTCCAAAGTAGTTTAAATGATAGAAGATACACAATGTAACAGAGTGAGAGAAGATTGCAGAAATTTGAATTATGAAAGGAATCTAATCATTTTAGCTCAGTTAACTTGATTTTTATATGTTTTAAGCAGAAATTGGAATTTATATGAGGTAGTGTGAGAAAGCTCCTTGCATTTATAAACGCTCATTCCTGCAAGTTAAAAACCCTGCTTCATAATTCCCACTTTGGGTCTTGGGAGCCACTTTTCAATCATTTTTCTCTGCTAATTTTGGTGTCACCCTCATTCCTTTTTAAACGATTCATTTTGAGCAAATTTGTAAATGGCCCTGATGTGTTCTACAATTTAGTCAATTACTGTTTCAGCCTGCAAGCCTCCTGGGGAACGGAACATACATGGCCTGAAGGTACGAATTTCAATAATTGTTTCAGTAAAGTTAGATGGATTCGTAATGCTGTGTTCCACTTATTGAAATGTCAAATAAAACTGCACTTTCTCAAGCTCTGACAAGCGAGCCTTTTTTTTTTTTTTTTTAAAGTGGGAGGTGGAGGGGATCAATCTGTAGTATTTGCTCAGTATATGTATATATTTGGATATAGGGGTTTTGGTGCTGTATTTTTTATGATTTGGAATTGCTTTGTTGGTCAGTTTCTTCAGGATGACCGCAGGTACTGGTCTCCACGAAGATTTCTTTGAGTGAGAATATAGACTTCATTTCATTGATTAATTAAACACGTAAGCATTTTGTACACAGAATACCCCCCTCTTCTTTTGACATGTTTATGCTAGACACATACGTCTATTTAATGTCTTTTCGTTGTTCTGTGCATTTTAAATTCTGGATTTCTGCTTAATGCTTCACATTTGAAAGAAAAGATGGCTATTGTGTTAGGCTCAACCATTTTATAACTCATTATTTGAGCCTCGTTTTTCAGTGAATGAGAAATATTCTACTACCTTCTGCTTGGATTTAAAGCTGGAAGGCTATGATAACTTGGGGTTCACAACTAGCCCCTGGGTGTATTCCTCATGAACTTTTTGAGCATATTGTTTTTGTATATGTTTTAGAACAGTTGATTAAAATTTTTTTTCCTGTTTAATTCTCCTTTTTCAGCACTGTTTAAGTATTTGTACAATGAGAGGAATAGACAATTATGTAATATACGGGTTCTGTAACCTATATACTGAATAGACTCCAACCGAGGGCCTGCTTAGCAACAAGCTAATTAACCTTCATAGTGAAATGAGAAATTTGTGGCAAATTATAGGTTAATTAGAACTGTGTCCTCAGAACACAAGACTGATCAAGATTCTTTCTTACTTGTAGGTGAATACCCGGGCTGGCCCATCTCAACACAGCAGCCCAGCAGTCTCAGATTCACTGCCAAGCAATAGGTGAGAGAAAAAGCAAGCAAAGTGAGCCCAGGAACATGATTATCTACAGAGCTGGGGGTGGGTGGAGGAGAGGCTTGTGGGGTGATACCTCTTTTCTATAAGACCAAAAAAATGTGTATGTGGCTTAGAAGAAATTCGACTGGCTAGATTGTAGATTGTGAGGATGGCACAGGACCAGGCAGTGTTTCGTTCTCTTCTGCATAGGGGCGCTATGAGTTGGAATCAACTCAACAGCACCTAACAACAACAGATAACCCTAGTTACATATTGACTGAGGAGAAAGACCTAATATAGAAAGATGAAATTAAACATGTTAAACTATTAATTTTGGCCTGTGGAATGGTTTTCCTTCACAGTCTCTGAATTGTATAGAAAAGTCAGTGCCTTTGACTATTTCATGCCTTGAAATTGTATAATGCTTATCATTATTATTATTTTTTTGGTCTGTCTTTTGGCAGTGTCATTAGCCACTGGCATCTCCACTACAAAGAGGCGAGGAAAGAGTAGAATGGTGAAATCTAAATTGATCCACCATGTCACTCGCTAGTGTATTTAGTTGTACAGAAGATTGAAGCTATTTTAGAAGAAAGATAATTTTCATTAATTCATGCTAACATTGCCCCACACTGGAATGGATACTCAAGACAGAGTCTTTTTCAAAGTGTTCCTCCTCCAAGTCTGAAGGCTTTGTAACTTACTTTAAGACTATGATGGTCCTAAAGTAGAAGGAGAGACCTACTTAAGCCGATAGAATCCAGGTCATCTTGGTTATACGGTCACTTATTAAGCCAGTAAACATCATGTTACTTGAGGATGATGCTTTAAAGGCGATCGTTCCATACGTGCATATTTGCACTGGTGACTAAAAAGCTAACATCAAGCCAAAAAAACCTTCCATTCTGTGCTGAGGCTTTTCTGGGTTTAGGGCAGTAGCCAGTTCAGCCCTTTATTGACTGAGATGTAGTTTAGGCTCTTACTTTTCCTTCAGTACCCACCCATCCCCCAAGCCACAGCCTCGGTTCTTTTGCCAAAGGAGCTCAACTGTAGGTAGTTTAAAGTCTCTCCTTCTGACTCTCTCTTTACTCTCCTGTCCCCTCCCCAAAAGCCACTTCCTTAATTGCTTTATTATGGCATCAGTGTATTCACCACCAGCTTTCCTACAACGAACACACTGCTGTGAAAGTGTGTTTCCTTCTTAAACAATTTATTCTGTCTTAAAATACAGTCATCTTAGTTATCCACCAGTGGATCATCTACATTGTGGTCATGAGAGGTAGGTCTTTCAGGTTTTGCTAAAGGGATTGGCCCTGCCAGGTGATACTCCCCAGCTTCTCTCTATGCTTGTTGGGCATGTGAGCCATGGCCCAGCAGAGTGGAGGCTCGGGGTTGAGGAGCGCTCAGAGAAGGCAGAGCATTTAATTATTACCACTGCTCCCAGAAAAGGTGTTACCTAGACAGATTGGCTGTGAGCCTGAAAGAGGAACAAGGACTTTCCCTGGTGTTTTAGGTCAAATTTCCTCATGGTATCAAAAGCGGGACAGAGTTGAAACGATGGTAAGGTAGAGAAGCAGGATCATTTTCCAGTTCTCCCAGATTTGCTTTTAACAACATGAGGGAATTAGTTTTGTTTTTAAAAAATTATCATGTTTATTTGTAGACTATCATGAAATCTTTGGGTTGGACAGAAATTCAGAGATCATCTGATCTAGTGGCTGTCAGCCTTTTGACTGCGTGACTTCCCTCAGGGATATTGCAATATTGCAGCGTCCCAAATAGTAATGGCAGTTTGCTCCAATAGTGATTCTGTTATGGGAGGAATGTCATTGGAAAAAGTCCTACAGGTGATTTTAATATGCTACCTTCGGGTGGTCATGTCCTGTGCTCCGTGTTGACAATTAGTCAACAGATATTTATTGAGTGGCCTCCTGTTCCTTAAGTGCTGCGGAATACAATGGTAAATAAGGCAGATGTAGTCCTTATCCTCTGGAGCTCGCTACCTGGGCGTACAGACAAAAAAATAGGCATACAGATAACTACACTTATAGTTTGTGGTATGCAAGAAACAAGCAGGATGTGAAGAGAGAGAAAGCACTAGGAGGCAGGAATGTGTTCAGAGTGGGTGCTCAGGGAAGACTCTCTGGGGAGAGTGACATTTCTGTCTAGACCTGCAGGATGAGAAGGACCTTGCCACATCAGGATCCAGAGGAGGGCATTTCAGACAAAGGCAGGAGCCTAAGTGAAGGTGCTGAGGTGGAAAAAGAGCTCAGCATGTTTGTAAGTAGCCGGTTTGGCTGGAACACAGGGAGGGGTGCAGTGTTGGGGGAGGGTGTAGGGAGAGCAGGGGAGAGAGAGGAGGTAGACAGGGGCCAGATCATTTGGGGCCTTGTAGTCCCAGCAGTGTTTGAATTTTGTTAGTGTGGTGGTAAGCCATTGGAGGGCTTTCGGCAGGCCAGGTCTGTGTTTTTAAAAGATCCTCTGGCTGTGGTGTGGAGAATGAGTAGGAGAAGCACCAACCTCCTTGACTCCCACTCCTTACCAAGTGGTCACCCAGCTTCTTTCTAAACATCCCTGTGGTAGGAATACACTGCTTCCCAAGGCAGTCCCTTCTGTTTTCATGTAACTATATCTTAGAAGGTTATTTTTGTCAGCTGGAATTTGTCTCCCTCTAGCACTCACTCAAGGAGCCCTGGTGGTGGAGTGGTTAGGTACTCGGCTGCTAAGTGAAAGGTTGGTGGTTTGAGCCCACCCAGAGGCTCCATGAGAGAAAGACCTGGCCATCTGCTTCTGTAAAGATTACAGCCTAGAAAACCCGATAGGGCAGCTCTGCTCTGTCACATGGGGTCACTGCGAATCAAAATCAGTTCCATGGCACCTAATAACAGCAGCACTCACTCGTATTTAGTTCAGCCCTTAGAACAGGTCTGTTCCCTCTTCCAGATGATAGCTCTTCCAATTGTCTTCCTTCCAGATATACTTCTCCTAGATATCTTATCTTCTTAAATTCTCCTCCCACATCCACCAGTTGCTGACTCCAAATAAAACTACCCTTTAAAACCTGTTGCCGTCGAGTCGATTCTGACTCATAGTGACTCTATAGACAGAGTAGAACTGCTTTATAGGGTTTCTAAGGCTGTAAATCTTTATGGAAGCAGACTGCCACATCTTTCTCCCGTGGAGCAGCTGGTGGGTTTGAACCACCGACCTTTTGGTTAGCAGCTGAGTGCTTAACCACTGCACTACCAGGGCTTCTAATAAACCTGCCAGTCATCCTTTACTGCTTCCTGGGGCTCTCTCAGCCCTACCTTACCTTTCACGGTTCTACCTTCTGAACAGCTGTGGAGTCTGTCAACTTGCCAGCATCCCTGTTGCTGCAAAGTTAGTTCAGACTTCAGATCACAGCTACAGCCTCCTAAGAGTTTCCTCCCTCCAGTCTTGCCCCATTTCAGTTCTTCCTCCACACTACAACCCAGTGATCTTGCTGATGCACAGTTCTTAGCCCATATTCCCCCATTTAAAACTTTTCACAGATAGTCCCCCATTTTCAAACCTTCGAATGAAGTGTAACCTCCACAGCCTCCTGTCTACTCCAGCCTCTTAGCCTGCTGTTCTGCCCCTTCCCACCTGACATTTCAGCTTTGCTGAGAACACGTGGTGCCTTAGTGGATCCTGTTTTCTCTCACTGCTGGGCCTTCACCTCTGCTGCTGCCTCCTTCCTGTTTTTCTCCTCTTTCAACCCCCTCCGTCACTGTCATTCTTGCTAATGGTGGTTGTCTTCGAGGACTGCAGGTGTTATCTCCTTCTGGAAACCATCCCTGATTATCACCCACCCCCCAGTCTACACTAGGTACCCAGTCTATGAATTCTCATAACCCCCTGTACTTGCTTTTACTCTAGCACTTAGCATATTGTATTATACTCACCTCTGTCCCCCAGGTTCTGTACTCTTTGAGGGCAGTGACTGTAGCATATTTGTTGTTGGATTCCCAGTTCCCAGCATGATGCTTTTGGCACGTTGGAGATAGTCAATAAGTGCTTGAATGAATGAATGAATATACTCGTAGTCCCTTTGAGTCTTGTCTCTGGATTAAATTCTCCCAACTCATTCAGGTTTTCCGATGTGGTATTATTTTAGTCCCTTCACCTTTCTACTCTTCTTTGGATACATTTCAGCTTGTCATTGTCCCTCTTGAAGTGTCATACTCAGGTTAGGTTCCAGCTGTATTGTGTTTACATTTTTAAATGTTTTCAAAAGTGATTTTTAGACAGTTCAAGTCACTGTGACCATATAGATAAACAAAATATTGGGTAGATTGGGGCACAAAGAAATTTCTAGGGTACAAAATACTTTTTATCGGATCAAGGTGGTAGCCAAATACCGGCATAATGAGTAAAATGAGTGCTTTTCTCCATCACTATGGAAGCATGAATTGTTCTTTGCCTTAGGTGAATGTTTATTAAGCTGAATTTACTAATCCACATGCTGTTCTTAGGCCATGTGGATTAGTGAATTCAGTCCCATTGCCAAGGCAATGAGCCCTGGTGGTACAGTGGTTAAAGCACTCAGCTGCTAACCGAAAGGTTGGCAGTTCTAACCCACTAGCTGCTCTGTGGGAGAAGGATGTGGCAGTCTGCTTCCGTAAAGATTTACAGCCTTGGAAACCCTATGGGGCAGTTCTGCTCTGCCCTATAGGGTCGCTATGAGTTGGAATTGGCTTGACAGCAGTGGATTTTGGTTTGGCCAAGGCAAGACCCTTCCTAAACCTTCTGGCTTTCTCCTTCTGTAAAACTGGGATGATTAAACTTTCTTTCTACCTCTGATGTTAGGAAGGTTGATGAAACTGTGTTAAGGAATCACGTTTTGTTTCTTGGATGAAAGGTATTTTGTAAATTCAGTGAATCAAAATGTTATTATTTCAAGTTGTGTGACATAATGGAATATCTGTGGAGAATCATTGTCTGGGCATTGTTTGATTTTATCTATCTTTATAATAATTGCAAATATCCAATTGGAAGTCATCGATGAGAAAACTAGGATCTAAATGTTTCCCAGAAAAAAGAGTGAATGTGTACGTGTGTGTGTGTAAAGGAGAGAAAGAAAGAGAGAGAAACTGGCTTTGAGCAAGTTCTGTACCTTGGTTTCCTCTGTCAATTGGGAATAATGATGACACCCTACAGGTTGACTGTGATGATTAAATTACTAATGGCAGTTACACAGTGCCTCACGCATAGTCATCACTCAACAAATGGTAGCTGCTATTATTGTTTTTTTAATGAGATTGATTTTAGGTAGTTGTGTATTTTTTGATATAGGTTTCAGCTTTAGTCCCATTCTACAAAATTCTTCACCACCACTTCAGTGCGTGTGTTCTTAGACTTGGGAGGACATTATTCAAGTCTAGAACTCTTGGTTGAGGGATACCTTTTTAAAATCTGGGAAGGTAGGGACTGAGGCTCTGTAGACTGCACTTGACCGTAGCAGAAATTTGAAGTGTCTTTTGAAAGAAGAATAATTTTAATTTGAAATGGTGAATGTGGTCAAACTTGAAGCCTGAGATGCTCTCAAATATAACTTATTAAAGGTACCGAATGGAATGTGTGTGTGTGTGTTTCATATTGATACTCAGTCCTTTTGCTTTTTGATGTTTTTTATCATTTTTATGTCTTACAAAGTTACTACCACTAACCCATTCCCATCAAGTTGATTCTGACTCATAGCAACCCTATAGGACAGAGTAGAACTGCCCCATAGGTTTCCAAGGAGCGTCTGGTGGATTTGAACTGCTGCCTTTTGTTTAGCAGCCATAGCAACCACTGTGCCACCAGGGCTCCAAAAGTAGAACTGCCCCACAGGGTTCCCAGGGAGCGGCTGGTGAATTCAAACTGCCGACCTTTTGGTTAGCAGCCAAGCTCTTACATATAATTACAAACAGAACAGCCATTGCCATTTATTGAATACTTACCACATGCCAAGTCACTGGGCTAGGTTCAGGCATGGGAAAGGGATAGAATATATAGAGAGGTGAGTAAGATATGTCTGAATTTCAGGGAGCTCCCAGTCTTGGGGGAAGGTTTAGTGGGAAGAAAGACATCTACACAGATAACTGTAATACAAGGGAAGAGAGTTAATTTGGTAGATGGGTAAAGGGCTGGAGTAGGTAGATTAAGAATAAAATTAACAAATTTTAAATTTCAGATTAGAACATTGAAGGGGAGAGGATACAATTTTATCCACTCTACCAGCCTGGTGGCTACGGACAGGTATAACTCATTATAAAGTCAGAAGGACTTCAGAGTTTCCCTTGCCCACACCTCTTTCTTTAAGAAGGACTTTCCCTAAACTCATCCACATAAATGTTTACATAGCAATATATGTTCAGAGAACAACGTTTGAATATTCCTTAAATAACACTAGAAGCTGGGTGTCATACCTATAGAAAAGGAAGGAAAAGAGAAGGCAGCTAACAGCCCTGGTGGTATAGTGATTGGGAGCTATGGCTGCTAACCAGAAGGTTGGCAATTTGAATCCATCAGCCGCTCGTGGGAAACCCTACGGGGCAGTTCTACTCTATCCTATAGAGTTGCTATGAGTTGGAATGGACTCAACCACAGTGGGTTTTTGGTTTTGGTATGTACATATAAAGATCCCTACTGTGTGTAAGACAAGGTTCCTTGGTGGTGCAAATAGTTTGCACTCAAGTACTAACCTAAAGGTTGGTGGTTCAAACCCACCCAGCAGTATCACAGAAGAAAGTCCTGCCAATTTGCTTCCCTAAAGATTACAGCCAAGAAAATCCTATGGAGCAGTTCTGCTCTAACACACGGGGTTGTCATGAGTCAAAATCTATTCAACGGCAGTAGGTTCTGTGCATGACACAATGCGAGGATTTTTTAATATTTGGTTTTCCTGGTCACCCTGTGGCACAGTGGTTAAGCGTTAGGCTGCTAACCAAAAGGTCAGCAGTTCGAATCTACCAGCAACTCCTTGGAAACCCTCTGGGGCAGCTCTATTCTGTCCAATAAAGGTCGCTGTGAGTTGGAATCGACCCGATGGCAATGAGTTTGGTTTTTGGTCACCCTATAAAGTTGATATTTTCCCCCATTTTATAGAAGGAGGAAATTGAGGTTCAGAGAAGATAAGTAACTTGCTCCAGATCACACAGCTAGTGAGTACCAGGATTTACTTCTGCAACACATTTGCTTCCCAGGAAGCTGAATTGTGGCTCTTAACTGTAATAAAAGATCAGGACTTAGACCATCTATTTTATCTTTTGAAGTTTTATAATCTTTGTTTGCTGGGAACATTCTAAGAGTGCATTGTTAAGTACTTTGTGTTTAGAAGCTAACAGTCAACATAAAACAGCCACTGAAAGGCCACCCAAAGGCAGCAAAACTGGAGATCTTAAACTAAAAGGTATTCGTATGGAAAAAAAAAAAAAAGAGTCACTGAAGCACTCCTGTAAACTATTCTAGCTACGTTTTCACTGTAAGCTTCTTTGTTGCTTTAGATTAGCAATGAGGTTTCAGTCCCTTTATTGATACCTTTGGCATTTGGCCAGTTGCTTTCAGAAACCTTTTACATGGGGAGAAGGCTATAAAAAGTGTAGTCCATGCCTACACCTAAAATCAAAGGTGTGTTTTACTCTGAATTTTCAGTGGTGTTCAGAGGTGTCAAGTGATCTTGTCACTAAAAATATGTCTTTCCTTTTCAGCTTAAAGAAGTCTTCTGCTGAACTGAAAAAAATATTAGCCAATGGCCAGGTAGGTGTCATTACATATTCAGATTTTCACAGAGCAGTAACTTGTTCCTGTCCAGTTTTTCTATTCATAAACTTATTACACAGATAAAGAGTCTGTGAACTTCTTCTTGTCATAAATGAATTACATGGCTTAATTTGATTGGCAGAGCAATTTGCAGCACGTTTTTCAAACTGTGCTGATGGATTTCATTCCCAGCAGATTGAAGTACCATGCACACACCCTGCTGCCATCTCCGTTTAAAAAAAGTTAATCAGTTCTGAACAAGTGTGTCAACCCATGGGTTGTTGAAATGGCCCTGCATTCTGAGGTGACTGCTTCTTTATCTGAGGTTACTGCTTTCATTATCTTTGGGGGAAAAAGGAAAAACTGATACTCTCTTACCTTAGCTCCTTCTTTTGTCCTGAAACTAATAGTGGCTTTTTAGGGGAGCAGAGTAACAACAGACCTTTGGCCTTTAAAATTCCTGGGTATCAGGAGACCTTGGTTTGCCTTGTTGACTGACCATCTAAAGCTGAATGATCTAACCCAGCCAGCAAGGGACAAACGGACCTGCAGGCCAGTTATTTCTCACTAATTTTGATTCACGTAAGTGGACACATCTGAAATAGTATAGTGATTTTAAACATAACACTGGTAAATTAAGCTACCTACAGGATCCTCGATTCCTCAATAGCAACATAAATGCGTTTTAATGTTTGTGATAGTGGGAGCCCTCTGATAGCCTTGGAGGCAGGCGCCTGTCCATTGCGATCAAGCCTGCCTATTAGGCTCTATTGACTGAGACATCTGTGTCACTGCAAATGAAAGACTCTTATTGATTTTCTTAACTGCTGTTCACTTCCCGTCCATGTTTCGAAGGCTGAAATCTTAATTATCTCAGATGCTTATTCAGTGCCTTCACACACTGACCTCTCCAAGCCTCATTGGCGTTTCATGAATCAAGTACTTGTAGTGGAGCATGTCAAGAAGACAAAGATGAGTCCTCATGCTTGTCCTTTAATATCACCTGTAACATTGTGGCCTAATAGATGTGCGTGCCTTAGAAGGGTGACCGTATGGTAGTGCTTCTGGGAACCTTGCTTATTTAGCACATAATCCTTTGAATACATATAGAAAAAATTAAGTCAATCTGGTTCTGACATCTGACAGTCATCCAGAGTGTGTAGATTCTAGTCTTTTATATACAGCTGAGGAGAATCTGGTATTGTATATATAATATTGATAGTCTCCAAATTTTAGGTAGTAATGATAGCGTACTTTTAACTTTAAGCAGCCAGAGGTTTGTTTAGATGGAGGTTCCCATATATGCCCTGCATGTGTTCAGAACCAGTATGAAACAAAACCTAACTAAAAGCAAAAATATAGAGACTAAGAGATTTATGTATCTTCAACATGCTTACATTCTAGTTACTAACTATAATTTATGTACGAGTCGCTTCTATTCCTCAGCTGGAAAATTGACATAAATTAAGAAGCTTTAACTACATTTGTTCAACCCAGGCAATGGAAAATAACCTGTCACAGATTCCTCTTTGAAAAACGAAAAACATCAGTTTCTTTCCACTGAAAAAATAAGCATTCTGAAATGTTCCTAACGTTCTGACAAAAAACCTAGTACCATGACTATCTGATGGCCTCAGTTATGAGGTTCTGTGTGGTGGGAGATTGTCATGCTGCAGTGATTTTTGACACTTAAAGACTATTGTTTTCCCTTAGGAATATGATACTCTCACATTAAACAGTATGACATTTTCCTTCTTTTAAGGATTAGCCTTTATTATATTTATTTTCACCCACCCAGACAAACAAAACACACCTTTGGAAACTTTCAAAATACCTCCTTCCTCCCCATATTCCTCAGTTCCTTGGTGCTATTGGGTAACTAAACAGTGAGCAAGATTGCATTGCGGTGAGGTAATGTGCTCCATTGTGGGCGTCAATAAATTTCTGGGCTGAACACTGACACCACTTAATATGGAAGATGTAAGTCACATTTAACGATACTTTAACACTTGAGCATAGTTTTTTTTATATTTGCAGTTTATGCTCTCAAGCATTAATAATGATTTGCCTTTCCACTAGCCTCCACTTAGATTTAATAAGGAATTCATATTAATCATTAAAAGAAAGGGACATGATTCTTCAAGATAATCAAATATTGACAGGTTAGAAATAGCTTTCTGCCTGGGTTCATTGATATAGGTTATGTGATATAAATATTTATTTCTTTTCTGTCACTCAGAGTAAATGTCGTCAATTGATTCAGCATTGATATAGTGTCAACAGTTCATAAGAAACATTTGACTGGCTTGTGTTTTCTGATTAGTCTCTGCTCTATAAAGTGGGATTTACTAAATCTCTCCAATTGTCTGCTCATAGAGTGTGACTGCTTTCTGAAACCATTATTGCTTCGATTTGTGAAGCAAAGCTCTAGTGATAGGACTAGTTTCCGTCAGACCTTTACATATAAAATAAGGATTAATTGAGCATTTTTATTTTAATGATTTATAAGTGATAGGTGCTGATTTCTTCCTAAGGCAGGCAGACAATAAACAAAGAATGTTTTCTTTGCTGATCCATAATTGAATTCCATTTCATTTTTCCCATTAATTCTATTGATATATTAAATCAAGCACTTTTTTTAAAAAGTTTCAATGTTTAGTGTTTGGAGCGGACTTTGTTTTCCTGTTATCTTTTTTTATGATGGAGGATTCCATTTTTCCAGTTTAAAAAAGAAAAAATCATAAGGTGTTGTTTGGTGCATGTTTTATTGAGAGCTGTAAATCAGCATCACTGATGTGTTTCCAGGATGTGATTTTCCCCACTTCAGTTCTAGTGTGGTATCATCTGTTTAGCATTGGCCCTGGATTTGAATCTGATAAGAAATAGCCCAAAGGGTCAATTTAAAGGATAAAAAAAGTGCACTGTGTGACTTTGACCTCTGCTTCTCTAAAATTGTTTTTCCTCTTTTGGTTTTTAAGATTGGGTAGGAGAGGGTGACAGTATTTCCCTCTTCCTGACAAATCAAGTATAAATGTACTGAGAAGTCACGGATCTAGAACTAATTCTGATCCTGCTGCAGCTTTGGTTGTTATTTTGAGAATTTCAGATGCATTTAGAAAAACTTGGTGGGGGGATAAGGAAGGAAGGAAAAATAGGTGTACTACTTACTGTAAAACCAACTTTAAAAACTGCATCAGCAGCAGTATGTATGAAAATGGAAACGTGAGATTGTGTTATGTAAGTCCAAACTACACGACACCCCTCCCCTGCGCACACCAGCACACCCCTTCCCCCACGGGTCCTCGTGGCTGTGTTTCTTCCATGGCCCCTACCTCCTTCAGCAGTAGCAGCCCCAGTGCCATCATTTCTCCCAGGTCATTTGGTGTCTTGGCAATTGACATGTAATTGTGACTTCCCTGGCTCTCTCTTCCTCCTCTGCCACGTCTATTATTTTATTTTATTTTTTAGTCAAAACAAGGAAACTGAAATATAGTTAAAAATTATTTGATATCTGTATTGAACAACACTTTATTTCACCTCTTTTCAATCTGAAGAGCTATGTGATATTAAAAAACACTTCTCTTAAAAACAACACAATAACTAATGAGATTGCTTTTTAACTGGTGAGAGGCCTTCAGCTGATTGTTTTCATGACGCACACCTGAGTCAACTGCTAATCTGTAGCATTGAATGAGAGTGCCCCAAAACTGGGTCTAGCCTTCACTAGCTGTTATCGACTAGCTGTATGACCTAAGCAAGTTGGGCTAGATGGTCTTAAAATGCTGTAAAATTCTGTGATTTTTATGAGACTTGATCACAACTAGAATATTTTAGTTTCATACTCTGTAGGCTTATAAATTTGACGTTTTTATTGGAATGACCACTGTTCCTGTGCTCCGTTTTGGAAAGGTGAATTTATAATGTTCATCCGAACTAAAAAGGCAGAAATATTAGTAGCTGTTTGTTGATCTCTTTAATTAGTTTTCTCGTTAAAAAAAAAAAAAAACCAAACCCATTGCCATCAAGTCAATTCAGACTCATAGCGACCCTATGGAATAGAGTAGAACTGCCCCATAGGGTTTCCAAGGAGCGGCAGGTGGATTTGAACTGCCATCCTTTTGATTAGCAGCCAAACCAAATGCTTAACCGTTTCACCACCAGTTTTCTCATAGTTAACGTCCATTGAAATAAGACATTTTGATCAGAGAGGGGAAATTCTCAAAATGCTTTTTGTAATCAATTCGTGAGCTTGGCTCTCTCTAATACGTTTATTTTTTTAAAACTTGTTTTAGCCTGAGTGATATTTGTATACTATATACAAATTAGAAAATTCAAATAATCAGAAAGAAAAACAATCTGATATTCTTTAATACAAAAAAAGCAATCCGTTCATAGGCCTGGCCTATCTATAAAACTTTAAAACATTGTAGAAACACATTATCCATTTTTTATGGAGATTGTCTTTTTAAGTGACAAAGTTCTAGAAGCTCTTCTTCAAAATCATTTTTATTTTTATTAGACTCTAGGAATCTTCCTCATTACCTGAGGAATTCCAAATTTCTTTCTTGATTTTTCCATCCTTGAATTTGCTTATACAGTGTTTATACACACACATGCATGCACGTGTGCACACACACACACACCCCACTGGGGTTCTCAGCCTATCCCCTGACTGTTTTGGATGCCTACCATTCCAGGAAGGAGCCCTGGTGGCACAGTAGTTAAGCGCTCAGCTGCTAACCATACAGTTGGCCGTTCGAGCCTACCAGCCGCTCTGTGGAGAAAGATGTGACAGTCTGCTTCAGTAAAGATTACAGCCTTGGAAACCCTATGGGGCAGTTCTTCTCCGTCCTATAGGGTCACTATGAGTCGGAATTGACTCGACAGCAACGGGTTTGTGTGTTTTTTTGTTTGTTTGTTTTACCATTCTAGATTAGGTTGGAATGCGGGGAACACTGGGTAGGTGGCTGCTCTCCTTTTTTCAATCTAGTGGCTGTCCGGAGCAAAAAGACTACAATGTCAAGATTATAATGGTCGAAGGTGCTCGGAGATGTGCCATACCTACCCTTTTGCTCTTTCTTCCTCCAACAAAATACCACGAAATTGAACACCCTTCACACTCCTAAACCTACGTCTCTGTATCACTGGAATGTATAATATCAGTACGCTTTGGTGAGGATTTTTTCCTCAGAGGAAACTGTATGTTCCTTTTACCTGGGGCCTTACCTCCCTCTCATCTGGCTAGGGAGCAGGTAAGGCTTGAAGACCTTGATAGAGTGTGAAGGGGACATGACCACAGACGGTGGCCCCTCCAGAGCCTAGACCCTAGGATGTGGAACAGCTACATCATGCTTACCCTTAAATCTCAATGCCACTAATTCAGAATTTGTGGACTTGAGTGAGTAAAATTTCTCTTTCCTAGAAATTTACTTCGAGCCATGATGATGGTGCAGCTTGTTAGGCAAGTTATTGGTACAAATTAAGTGTTGGAGGCATGTTTAGACTACCTGGAGAAGTGTTTTAAAGCAGTTAGCCTATTTGTACTTGCCAACAGATGCTGCTGCTTACATATCCTGCATACATACTGATTGATCAAGGTAAAGCCAAATAGTAACTATGCCAGTCTAGCAACTCAGGTCACTTTACAGGCTGCTTTTCTTTACGCTGTTTTAAAATTTACACTTGTCTTTACCATCATTTGGTTCAGAATAATGAGGTTTTCTTTATGCTACATCTTTTATACAGGTTAAAATATGAGTTTTTTCCCCCCTATGTTGGTAATATAAAGGTAATGAAGAACAGAACTTCCCTCAAATAGGAAAGTCGTTGCCAGTTTTTCTGACTTGTCTGTTATTTCTCCACGTACCCTAAATACGGTAATTAGCTGATTGTGAATTGCATCAATCAGGTTGTACTACAATTCAATTGGGTGCTGAATGGCCTTTACATATTAATCTGTCAATATCCTTCTTAAGGATTGGCAAAATGGCTTGGAAAAGAAGCTGTTTCTGTTACTTGCGCTGTGCTCCTAATTATCACAGCTCTCTGAAGCTTCAGCCTCAGAAATGTATATAAAAAAAATATTTCTCTTGACAAATGAAGCCTTGCTTTTTTCAATTGGTGAAAATTTAGAGTAGAGCCAAATATTTAAAGCTTTACTATAATGGTCTGAAAGCAAACTATTTTTTTCAGGTGATATTGAATTAAAAACTCCATCCATTTTCTGCCCACGCAAGGCAGTGCAATTCCCTGGAAACTGATTTTTTTTTCAGGGCTTACTATGGCTTTTTCCCAAGCTTTAGCTATATGGAAAATAGTACCTTTATTGAATCCACTTAGTGAGTAAACTTGGCAGTTAATTTTTAAGCAACCAGACCAGTTTGTAGAAAATTACTGAATGCATCAAATAGAATATGACTAGTCTTTAAATCATTTGATAAATAATTATTCAAGGAGTTCTTTAAAACTCTAAAACATTATTTTTGGAGCACTTAAATAATTCACTTACTATTCATGATATAAGTGAAAGTAGTACTCATGCATAATTTTTATAGAACCAGGAAAATGTGAATGCATTTCTAAATGATAATAATGACTTTAGTTTATAAAAATTACATATCTATATATTTTCACTTTATGCATTATAATATTTGACTTGTACATTTTCAAGTGTGTTGATTTGGCATATTTTCATCAGCATAATATAATTTCTACCCCGTTGTGGCTGTGTACTAATTCATGTGGCTGTGTACTAATTCATTTGCAAAGGAAAGCTAAAACCTGCACTAGGAAAATCATAACAATTATTCAGTTAACTTGTTAAATGTTAATTATTGGGTTACCTCAGGAGTTTCCAGGATCAATTTATTTATACACTGTGCATAAGGTTACTGGGTGTCTGTCATCTGTGTGTTGTCGTCCCGAGTTTGACTTTGGTTACGTGCAGTGCTATTTGGCATTGGTTCTGTGCAGTACTAGAGACTGTTTTCTTATTGGTATCTCTGACCTGACCTTTTTGAGCTATGTTATATCATTCCATTTTGACACCTTTTATCAAACTTTAATGAAATGACCCAGGCAAACAAATTGTCATTAAACTTTCCATCACTTTGTCCCTTGGTATCGTCTTTTATAAATTGGACAGCAAATGTTGTATTGATCTTCTCATTCTTGCCGCTGAACTTGAAATGACCCAGACTGTTTGTTGTTTATGGCCCAGAGTTGCTTTTCCTTGACATTTCCATCCACAGCATGACACCCTTTTGTTTCTCTTTCTTTCTTGAGATGAATGAACAAGACATACGGTATCGAGACACCCTTGGCCATGGCAACGGAGGCACAGTCTACAAGTGAGTAGTCAGTTTTGTTTAAACTTCCCATCCACGTTTCCACTTTTGCCAAATGCTGGGTTTCAAGTTTAAAAGGTACTCAAGTTCTCTGTGGCAAAGATTTTTAAACGACCATGAGCGCTTAGACTTGATTTTCACATTTGACTCCAAAATTCTGCAAGGCATCTATCTTCTCAGGAATTACTTGGAAAAGTGCATTTATATTGCCTTTTTAATATTTCTGAGTCTGAATCTCCTGGGTGAGCAGTTAATAGTCCACCATAAGCAAGTATACCTTTAACTCGAAGTTTAATAGACATTTTTTCCTTGTCTCTTTAACACCATTATTTTTTTTAACTTGCTAGCACCCTATTCTAGTCCACTGTCTGTTTACAGCTATGCCTGGTGGAAGTTAAACCTTATAAATACCCTTACTTTGCCCTGTGTTGCTATTCTAGGTTATTAAAAAGCCTTCTTCCTGTTGTAGTTCCTTCTCTCCTCACCCTCCTCCCCTGAGAGAATTTCTACACATTGAGGAATATGTTAAGTTATAAAGTTCTCCCAAATTCCAGTTGCAGTGATCTTACCCTAAAGGAGTGTTCATCTTCATATTAAAAAATGCTAACGGTAAAAAATAGTTTTCTCAACAGGGAAGTCTTTCTTATGCAGTAGTGCAAAGTTTAAACTACATTATGTAATATCTGGTACTTAATAGTCTCCAATGGTGTATGAAAAATATTCCACTAGGAATTAAAAAATGTATACTCTGTAAGAAAGCCCTGAGGGAGTAATAAAGCTTTCCTCCAGAGAACTGTTTTCCACATATACACTAAGCCTGCATTACGTTATGATGGTGTTTTTACCTTGGATATTTTCACAGTGACACTAATATATATTTTCAAAGTTCTGAAATAGTTTATTTCCTAATCGATTACTAATGTTCTTAGATCCTTAAGTTCTAATTAACTACATGAATTCAGATAAAAATTGCCCTGTGACCATAAAAGGTCATACCCTGAAACCCCAGGACATCCACATGCAGCCTTGATGTTAGAGCTAGATTTCCCAGCATTAGAAGCTTCTACAGAATCATCTGGTCCAGTCACACATCCAGGGCTTCTACAGATAGATATAGGGTGTAAGTCTTTTCTCCTAAATCTAGTCCTTTAAGAGCTTATGTACACGTGTTTGGATTATTCCTTCAGATGACTGACTATTACGAATAGTTGTTTTGAAAGTTAATAGATAATAACATATTTCTAGCATGATCCTTGGGCCTTGCCCTTAAAACAGTTGATGCCTGGTGTATCTACTGAGTTTTGAGGCTACTGTTCTCTTTCCCTGGATCATGCTAGCATTCCTTTCTATGTAGCCCCCATTACGCCATAAATAGAGTCTCTTCATGTTAGTCCTCTCCTTCTTACTCTTATCTGACTTGAATTTTTACGCTGGTCTGAAGTTCTTGGGTTCAGATACCCTTAGAGAGGAAAGAAGAAAGAAGAAGGAACATATGCACCTCCATTTGCTTCCCTTGAATTCCCTGGAGGAAACGGTTTTCAAAGCCTCACCCTTTCTTCTTCTTATTGCTCTTATGCTGATAGCCAGATATAATAAAACAGGAAATATTTCTAGAAATTCTTTGGATTCCTTTTACTTGATCTGAATAGAATCAAAACACATTTCTTTAGATACCTACCCTACTTCTTACCTATGTTATTTCACCAAATGTTTAACTCTAAAACATGTGTGTATATATATATATTTTTTAAAGCTATTTTTTATTAAAAAATTATTGTGTTTTAGGTGAAAGTTTACAGAGCAGATTAGTTTCCCATTAGATAGTTTGCATATACAGTGTTCCATGACATTGGTTGCATTCCCCACAATGTGTTAGCAATCTTCCCATTTCCGTCTTGGGTTTCCTGTTTGCTTTTATCCAGATTTTCTACCCTTTCCTGCCTTCTCATCTTTGCTTTTGGGAAAATGTTGCCTTCTTGATCTTATGTAATTGATTGTTCTAAGGAGCACGTTCTTCTTGAGTGTTATTGCTTATATTATGAGCCTGTCTATGGTTTGGCTGAAAGGTGGTCTCCAGGAATGGCTTCAGTTTCAGGTCAGAATGGTGTCTTAGGACCATGGTCTCGGGAGTTCCTCCAGTCTCTGTTAGACCAGTAAGTCTGGTCTTTTTTGCAAATTTAATTTTTTTATTTTGCGTTTTTCTCTGGCTCTGTCCAGGACCCTCTGTTGTGATCCGAGTCAGAGCAGTCAGTAGTGGTAGCTGGGCACCATCTAGTTCTTTTGGTCTCAGGGTCATGTAGGCTGGTTCATGTGGTTCATTAGTCCTTTGGACTAATTGTTCCCTTGAGTTCTTGGTTTTCTTCCCTCTCCTTTGCTCCGAATGGGAAGAGACCAATAGTTGTATCTTAGATGGCTGCTCACAAGCTTTTAAGATCCGAGACAGTACTCACCAAAGTAGGATGCAGAACATTGTCTTTATGAACTATGTTGTGCCAGTTGATGTAGATGTCCCCCGAGTCTGTGGTCCTTTGCCTTTGAGCCTAGAAACTTTGTGCCGTGAGGTGTCAAACACGTTTATATTTTATAATTGAAGCCTTATTGTGAATTTACCATCCTGGCTTATTCTAGAAGAGAGAAAACGTAAGTCTGCCAATCCCCAGCAGATAATTTTTACTAAAGATAATATCCTAAATGTTAAAAATTTAACTATTTACCTCGGAACATTACCTTATCAAAAGAAGGATGTACAGGGGAGTGGAAATAACATGGTTATCCCCCAAGGAAAATTCACAACAAAAAATTGTTAATGTTTTTAGCTAAGAAGCATGGCTAGAACTTCTCCTCCATTCCGGCCACAGTGTCCAAGGGAGTGTTCTCCCACAGGTCCTTAGCACAAGGCCTTTCATTTGCTAAAATACTATGGTGACATTAGCAACTTATCCTAAGAGTTTATTTAGCTGCCATTGCTAATGCTCTATATAAACGTTGTTAAGATTTAATATGTGCTTGACAGTTGTTGCTTATGAATGATGAGTGGCAGTATCATGATTATTTTAGTACTTTAGTTATCTAGTAGATTTCTTATAAAAAGAAGAAATTTCATTTATGTTATTGCTTTTATGATTCTTAAGGGTAAAGAATGTGAAGGCTCCAAGCTGCATAACTACTTGTCATTGATCATTAGCCATCATTTCAGCCTGGACTTCAACTTGTGTTGTTGTTCTCATATCTCTGACTTTTAGTTCAGCAAAGAAATGGTATAATCATCAAGAAATGAGAACCCTCTTTACTAAAGTCTCTATAAAACTAGTGTTTGATGTGTTATGATTGAGTTTCTCCTACACTAAGTTTACCTTAATGGTGCTGACTATAAAAATTGTGATTTTTCAAACAAAATGATTACATTACAGGCTATGCTACATAAACTAGATGAAGAAAATATTGAAAAATCCACTCATTGGTAACAAAACTGCCTAATGGGCCTGTTTAATTTTTCTCTTACAAAGTGTAATAAAGCTAATAAATGCAAAGCAAAACTTTAGTACTTCAGTCTTATTTGCTCCACTTGATGAGGTGTTGTGAATTTCAAGGGCTTTGATATAGTGTGTAACTGCAATATATATTATTTAATAGTTGTTCACATTTTCATCCTTTAAGTCTAGATGTTCTCTATAATTATATAACGTGGAATTCCGGCCCCAGACACTTAAACCAAGTGGTAATATGGATTCTGCTGAATTGTTCTCTGTATTGTGATACTAATTTAGATAGGTAATGTTAAGTTGGTATTTCTTGGATTACTAGTTTGGGTTAAATGGATCATAAGTGAAATAGCTTAGACTAAAATATAGTCCAAGCCTAGGAAGAAGAAAAGTTTAGAAAAAGAAATGGATGCGTTTTCATTATCGTTCCATTTCTCAAAGTGCTTCTAGTTGCTCTAGAAAAATAAATTCAGGAGACATATTCTTTTCCTCTCCAAGAGATTCACAGTGAATTTCAAAAACTTTGAGAAAATATAAAAACAACAGTATGTGTTGGGTTTAAGTGTGAGGACTCTGAGTTTGAATCCTGCATGTGCTACTAACTAGCTGTGTGACCCTGGGCAAGTTATATAATGTCATCTGCCTCAGTTTCCCCATCTTTAAAAGGGTAGTAATAATACCAGAAACCAAACTTGTTGCCGTTGAATGGATTCCGACTCATAGCGAACCTGTAGGACAGAGTAGAACTGCCCCATAGGGCTTCCAAGGCTGTAATCCTTATGGAAGCAGATTGCCACATTTTTGTCCCACAGAGCGGCTGATAGGTTCAAACCACCGACCTTTCGGTTAACAGTCGAGCACTTAACCACTGTACCACCAGGGCTTCTTAAGTGATATTACATAGCTGTATTCATTTGTAAAGTTTGTCAAGCTTTATGTTTAAGATTTGTGCACTTTATTTTATGCGAATGATGCCTTGATTTAAAAATTACAGTACAAAAAGATGTAGTGGGAATGGAAATTACTAAATTCAGGATAATTATTACATTCAGGGGTGTTTGTTCTGTGGGGAGGGAGAAATCACCTTGGAGGTAGAATCTAAAGCTTCGTGGAGAGTGTGGGCTTTTAACTGGGCCTTAAATAATAATAGTACATAATTTTCCACAGTTGTTGTTAGATTAAATGAGATAGTCCATATAAAAGGCTTAGCACTATGCCTGACATTTATTACGTGTTGGCTAGTAGTAATGGTGGAGGCAGTTGTAGAATTCTCGCCTTCCATGTGGGAGACCTGGGTTTGATTCCTGGCCAATGTACCTCAAGTGGAGCCACCATCTCTGTCCGCGGAGGCTTGCGTGTTGCTATGATGCTGAACAGGTTTCAGCGGTGCTTCCCGTCTGAGACAGACTGGGAAGAAAGGCTTGATAATCTACTTCTGAAAAATCAACCAGTGAAAACCCTGTGGATCACAATGGTCTGATCCCATGGTACATAGGGTCACCATGAGTAGGGAACTGACTC